CTTTCCCTGCCCCGCTCCAATCTTTTTCAGACAAAAAATTCTACTCAGGAGAACTGGTGCTCCTTAAGTGTTGGTCTAGTTTCTACCTGCTCAAGTGGTTTCCAGTGTTGACCGCAAACTTGTCCTTGGAAGAGAAAATACTTACCTTTCCCAAGCAATGCCTGGGTCTTCCTAGTTCTGCAATATACCATGAACAGGGAGTGTGTAAGGCCACCCTTTGGATGAGCTCTGAGCATGGCTGGCACATCACTGAGGTGACCTGAAGCAGCCTGCCTTAGGTAGCATGCTCTGCAGGGGCCAGGAGATTCCAGTTGAACCCGTGCTGCCACTTCCACTTATTTTCTTCCAGCTGCTGCCCCTCTATGGTCTTGGCAACAACAACTTCCAAGTCAGATTCAGGTAAGCTAAAGATGCACCCAAAAGCCAAAGTCAGGAAGAGCAGCAGCAATGCCTCGTGGAACACCTCCCCCTTTTCGCCAAGACTCTCAGACAAAAGGGGCATTCCCGCAGAGCAGCTGCATTGCCACTGGTCTTCCACCTACAGAGGAGCAGGGAAATTAGCAGCAATGCATGGCACAATGCCTCCGTTTCAGCAAGTAGGAACATCTTAATAGATGGTCCTGGTTGCAGGCAGGCCCTCAACCTGATCCCCCACCACCACTCTCATGCCAGGGTGGCACAGATCACCCAGGGCTATTGCCCAATCAATTTGAATGGGTGATCGTGGGGGATGTATAAAAGCGGCAGCACGACGTATGCCAAGCACCTGCTTCACGCTGCTGAACACCCGCCCACCCTCCCTTTAATTTAAGTGTCCTTTGGCCTTGCTTTGGACTTTGGTTGGTTGCCCATCTTGGGTCGGGGACCGGGTAGGAATTTTTCCATTTGGCGAATTGGCACGGGCCACTTGGTTTTCGCCTACCTCTTAGCAATCGTCACAACTTTGTAAGGTTTGGTGGTTAGGCATTGGCTTATTGTTGAGTGGAGGAGGGGAGATCAGCCATTGCCTGCCCCTCTATTGTTCAAGGGTATTCCGTTAAAGGAAACCAGGGCCTGGATCTGATCTGAAGTCCGCTTGAAGGGCTAGGGCCATGTCAGGCCTCTGGGAATAGCAGGGGAGATGCAGGCAGGCTCCCCCAAAGCAGTTTCCCTTTGGGTGGTTTACCCTTACAAACTTCCAGCAAGGGGGGTAGGAGAGATATAGTCTTTTGCCAATGCCTAAGCCAATACCGTTCTCATTTCCTGTAATCAATAAAGTTGTGGCCAAAAAATTTGCCCAATAACCTTAAACAAAAATTCTGTGTCTGTGTGAAATTCTATATGCTAATGGGGAGGTTGGCTTGAGGGTCTTGCCACGCAAGACAGCATTGCTGTTGTTCTCCTCTCACCCCAACAAGGTTGGGCCTGGATTTGTGAGGGAGCATTGGCCGGGTATATTGACTCAGGAGCCATTATTATTACTGTATTATTATTATTATTATTATTATTATCATCAACATCAATAACAACAACATTTCTTTACCACCCTTCACCCAAAGATCACAGGATGTTTTACAATATAAAAACACAAACAAATACAGCATAATAACAAACAAACACAATTCCCCCATAGGCCATAGATTGTTTAACTAGCCAAAGGCCTGGAAGAAAATGAATGTTTTTGTCTGGCGCCTAAAGATATGTAGGCGACAGGTGAGCCTCCCTGGAGAGAGCATTCCACAAGCAGGGAGCCACCACAGAAAAGCCCCATTCTCATGTTGCCGCCCTCCGAACCTCTCTCGGAGGAGGCACATGGAGAAGGACCTCAAATGATGAAGTCTGGGGCGGTTTATAAGGGGAGAGGCAGCCCTTGAGGTATTGCAATCTTGAGCCATTTAAGGCTTTATAAGTCAAAACCAGCACTTTGAATTGGACCTGGAAACTAACTGGCAGCCAGTACAGTTGGGCCAGAATTGGCGTTATAATCCCAGTAAGCAGCCAGGCTGAATTCTGCACCAGCTGAAGTTCCTGAACCATCTTCAGAGGCAGCTTCTAGATGTCACCAGAGCATAGATTAACAGATGCTGGACTATCCCAGTCCAGATATGGCAAAAGTGGGCCACCAGCCGGAGTGGGTGGAAGGCACTCCATCCCACTGAGGCCACCTGAGCCTCAAGTGACAGCAATGTAGCCTGACTGTATCATGTGCAAACTGTTGGGTTTCTATCAGAGCTGGGAGAGCTGTAACCTTCCAGGCACTGTTGGACTCCATCTCCCATCTGCCCCAGCCACCATGGCCAAAGGGCAGGGATGCTGGGAGATGGAGTCCAACAATACCTGGAGGCCCACAGCTTCGTCACCCCTAGTTTAAACTTCAAAGGGACAATGCATTTGTGGTAAAATACATTTTTTACACTTTAAAAATGTGAAGTATGAATGTGACAAAGAAGTGTTTTTAAACACAGATAAACATACTGGTATACTTGGCCAGAGAGCTGAAACTTGGGTATGGGTCCCTGTTCAGTATGCGCTTGGTGAAAATCTGGGTGTTGCTATCGGAAATGGCAGAAAATAGGCATTACTGCCTTCGTGTCTACACTGGTCGCACTATTACCTCTGCAGCAGGCTTTTGGTATTATTTAATAAACCAGAGTGAACAGTGGGACAAAAGGTGCCCTTATCATGCCACACCCAACACTCGTCATCTGTTCTACTTGAGATTGCAACTTCATTTCCAGAATGTTATCTCTAAACGGTTGAGACTTCTTAGTCCTTGCCAATATTATAATTATCCTGCCCCCAGCAGGATATTCTCTGGTAAATGGCAAAACACTTCTTTTAGCTCTCAAGAACAAAAGGTATAGTAATTAAAGCTTATTATACAGATTGGGGGGGTGGGGGTGTGTGTGTGTGCACGCGCGTGCATGTGTAAAAATCTGGGTCAAATTCCAACTGGGCAACATATGATCTTAGCCAGAGGAGGAGTGTAAAAAGTTCCTAGCAATGCAGAGAAGCACTGCAGAATCTAGATCAGAAACATATGTGCTTCGAAAAGATCCCAACAACAGTAGAAAAAAAACCACTGGATGCACGTTACAAATATTCCCACTGCCAAAAGGTGGGGGAGGAAGAACGGAATAAACAGGCGAGGGGATTTTTAAATATATATTTTTTATAAAAATTGTGAGAATAAATGTGTTCAATCCTTTTGCATTATATGAAGTGCTGCATCTATTTTCTCAGACGTTTCTATGTGGCCTGATCCTATAACTTCTTCCTTGTAAGTAAATCCCAGTGAGATCCACAGGAGTTATTCCCAAATAACCAGGAACAGGATTGCAGCCATTTAGCATGATCCTAAACATCTTGGTGAATTACTGAAAAATCAATGAGATGTTGAGTGCATATACTGTTTGTCACAATAAAATGCAGCTCTTCTCAATCCGGGATAGTTCATCCTCAGCTTGCTTCTTTCAGTCTAAATTGAAAGTGTTGTTCTTAAAATTATTAGGATCTTGCAAATAGTGATCATACTGAAATTAGACTCTTTTTCGACCAGTGCAAGCTACTGGGAAAGAAAGCAGTAACAGCTGGATAGAAATATCAGCTAGAGAGGATGAAAATGGGACTCTTTTATGTAGATGCTTTTATAGTATGCTTTGAAGCACTCTGTAAATAAAACGTGATATGTATGCTTTTTTGTTTTGTGTTTTGGCTGTACTGTTGTAGTACTTGTAACATTGTAGTCATCCCCATAGTAGACTTTTGCTCTTTTTTTGTTATTTAATTCATTAACTTTTAGGATGTTTTACTGGGCGAAGTATACTTTTCAGTACAACATATCATGATTTACAATTCATCATATTTCAGCTTAATATAGTGGCCTTTTAAGGCAGGCCATCCCCATTCCCATAGTACAGGTGTGGGATTGAACATGAGTAGTCCACCCAGTGAGACTTAAGTAACATTTGAAGTGGCGACTTCACCACCACCTGTTGCAGTTTTGACTTGCTGTGACTTAGAACCTCTGCAGGGATGGGGGACCAATTAGGATGAACCACCCCAGGAAGTTGATGGATCCAGATGGTTTCCTGGTGCCTCTCAGGGACTTTGCTGTCACCTTGGCAGGTGATTCTGACGAAGCTCTGGTCAATTTCCGGAATGGAGAAATGATTAGGACAGTTCACACAAATCCTAAGCATCCCCTCCCATGGAACAAAGCCAACATGAGTTATCTGGTTTTCCAGGGAACTGTGACCAATAAAATGACTGGACTGAAGACTAGAGTGAAGCTGGTGGAAAACTCTGAGCAAACCCAACCAAACAGGGGCTAGAGCTCAATAAAGACTTATTTGGTGGTTTTTTGTTGCAAACCACCCTGTAATCTTCGAATAAGGGGTGGTATATAAATTTAATTAGATTAATAATAATAATAATAATAATATCCCCACCTTTGGGGCTGGTCAATGGCGTACTGTGATCCACCTCATAAGAAGACAATTTGGACCACTTGATAGCCCTTTGTGAAGAATTTGCACAACTTTTTGCAGACAAAAAATCACTTGGGTTATTTCTGACTTGGATGCCTTTGTTGATATAGGTCCATTGAATGTAACTTCATTCCCTGCTTGTTGAGTCGCAATGGAAACCTTTTAGCTTGTAGAACCCTAGGATGTAGACAGGATCCTTGGAGAGGTGAGGCCTACATACCATATGTGTTCTTCACTATTGCCTGTCCAAACCATTTTGTAGAATTTATTGATTGGTTTAAAAGTTTTCCAAGCTGCATTTCAGCATAGCCCTCCCAAGGAACTTCACAATTTTTAAAAATAAAATCACATAAGATCACCTCCCCCTACCACAATAAAATCCACATTTATTAATGGGCAGCTACAGATAAAATTCAAACGACAGCACTCCAAGCAAATGTAGATTTATTGAATTTTTTATGAAGCCCTGAAGGTTCTTTCTAGAGCCACTCACACATATTTCCCTGGGAAAGGAATTTGTTAGGTGTGGGGCCACCACAGATAAGGCTCTGTGTCTGGTACCCACAAGATTAATAGGCTGTAATAGGCCATGGAACCATTGTGTCCAGTATTCTGAGATTCTAAATATGAGGTTTATTGACGATGTCGGCACAAGATAATGCAAGATTTGCCACCTTATGATGCAAGCCTATACTAAAAATAATAGTAATTCCCTTTAAACTCAATAGGGTTAGGTTCCCAGTTAAGTATGTTTACATTACAGTTTGTGGCACAATATCATGTGAATTTACTTAGCAATAAGTCGCATTGTTTTCAGTTGAACTTACACTAGAAAATACACTTAGGCTTGCCAACTTGGTCTAGAATAATAAATATTCCATTTTTATGCACTGCCAGATTAGGATATGTGGATTGTCAGGTTGAGCTATGTGTAATCACTGTTAAATTATGCAAGTGATAGTAGTTACTCCATCACACCCTTCAAAGAATCTCATAGAAGCATTACATTTAGTTGATTGTACAAGGCATCATTGTATAACATTCCTGCAGCATATCCATTTATAACTACAACCACGTAGCTACTTCTTAAGATAATGGAATTACATATAAAAATGTGTGTTAGGCTTCTCATGCATAATTATTTTTTTTAATGCAGCATCAACATACATGGTGTTACAGAGTAGCATAATCACATCACTTTCCCAAAATCAAATTCTGTCTTCCCTGCTTTGTGGCATCCAGGGTTGTCTTGGTTTCACGTAGTCCCCGAGGAATGTGGATTGGTTCACCTATTTTCCTATTGAACCATTTCTTTGATGACATCACAGAACCTCTGACACAAGCCAGTTTGGCAGCTTGTGCCACTCTCTTATGATCAGGGCTGGGGAATCTGTGACCGCCCAGATGTTGTTGGATTCTATCTCCCATTATCTATTGCCATTGGCCATGCTGCCAATGGGAGCAATTTCTGTTTGGCCACAGGTTCCCCACTTCTGGTTTATAGAGCTTTAGCTGTTTCATGGCAGGCAGGAAATCCAAAAGGAGCAATGGCTGGTAGTGTTCATAGAGATACGGTAAAGACATGGGAACAGTACAACTCTTCATGCCTTTCTTAAAATTTGGACATAAAGCCAGTTGAAATCAATAGGGCTTGATTCCAAGTCAATAGGTTTAGGATCAAGCCTTTAATGTGAAACATAACTTTGTTTCTGTTGGGGGAGATAATAATATATGAGACAGAGCTCAGTCCATAGCAAATCTAATTTGCTTCTTGGTTGCCTTGGTTTTGGAGGTAGGTTCTTGTGCTTTTTTGTTTTGCCCTGGAGTTGCCTCTGTCTCGCAGGGTGGCCAGAAGGAAGTATTTACTTTTTCTTGTTTATGTCATATAGTGTTGCTGTTTTTTATATATGTATAAAACTTCCATTCCATAATTGCTTGCTGTGCTGTTGTTCCTTCATGGGTATAATGCATGTCATGAGACCTGAATTGACTGTATACATACAAAATATGCCCCTTTAGAGAAGCCAAAGAACATAAGAACCATCCCTTCCTTTGGTGGAGTTGTGAATGGGTTTTTCACCTGTTCTCTTAACTCCTCTTCCAGTTATTAAATATCTGGATGGCAGCCACCACATGGATCAGATGGAATTATTATGATTGAAGGCGAAGTGTGTGTGTGTGTGTGTGTGTGTGTGTGTGTGTGTGTGTGTGTAAAACTAGGCCTTGGCTTCTTTGGCAAGGACTTTAACACAAGTATTAGGGATAAACAGCCCACCCATCTTTGATGGCGGTATCAGGGCAACATAAAATCATAATATTACATTCTACACACAACATCTCCAGGGGAAATTGTAGGGTTGATTTAACCACACAACCACCCAACCAAAAGAAGAAGAATGGAAGAAATGGGGGGGGGGAGAGACAAATAACACAGTTCCTTTCAAGACCATGTTCAATAGAAGGTATTTTCTCTTCCACGCAGTCAATAGCGTGGAAACCTGAAATTACAATCACTATTGTTTGTGTTGGGTTAAACTCTGCTGAAATCAAGCTTCATTTATAGAAAGTGAATAAGCAAGCTAAAGTTGCAATTTGCTGAAACTGTGGTGGGAAGAGGGGAGAATTAGATTTCACAAACTTCACACCAAATGAAGTTGGTTCAATACAAGCTGGAGACCACGGATTTGTCAAGTTCCCCGAGGGCCAACTTCTGGTTTTGCTGTTCTTTACATGCACAAGCTCCCCACCTCCAATCACTAGCATGTCCAGGTAAAGCTGTCCCCTGCCTAAAATCCTAGACAGCTGCTGCCAGTAGAAAACCCTGAGCTAGACGGAGCAATGGTCTGGCACCTTCCTCTATTCCTAGCCAGTGAATTTTAGAGCAACAGTCAGGGTGCTGTGGCCATGCGGATGTCTTTGGACTCCAACCTTCATCAGCCCCTGCCAGTCACGTCAGTGGGCAGGATCCATGGGAGCTCCAGAATTCAACCACATCTGGAGGCCCAGTTTGCAAAGAACCCAAAAAGTCCATCTTTGGATTCTGTGCGGGGGGGGGGCTTTTTTAAGGAGATCCCAGGCCCTGGCTGCCATTCTCTTGCCTGCCCCCTATCCAGTCGCAGGAAAGCCTCACAGTTCCATCCCCCACCAAGAAGCTGAAGATGAGCATCTTGGGGAAGCAGCGGCGGGGATTGCTTCGAATAGCGGCGCAGCCCAATTCCAAGCGACTCCGGGAGAGCAGCTGAGCGAGAGTCCTTCCTCCTCGGCCTCCGTTGCTGATTTTTTTCTGGCTCCGGCTGCAGCCGGAGGGCGGAGAGGGGGAGAGAGCGCAGGGTGTCCTGCGGGAAGAGCCCCGTTGCCATGGAGGTTTTTGTGGGTGTGAGTGAAAAGATACAGGAGATGGAAGCGTTCCAATCCTTTCTTCCCTGGAGGGCTGCCGGGGAGGCGAAGCAGGGAAGGCGGAAGGAAGGATGGATGGACAGCCGGAACCGCACTCGGAGCCCTCTTGTCCAAGCAGGACGGAGTGAAGCGCGCACCAGACTGTGCAGGAGACCCGGCCAGGGCAAACCCCAAGAGATCGGGGAATCCTGTGAGCAGGAGGGGAAAGAGAGGAGGAGGAGAATGAGAATTGTTTTTTCCAGAGCCCCCAGAGGATCTGCTACAATTGACTGGTTCCCCAGCAACACACAGCTCTTTCAAGAGGCTGGTTTTCCGCCGCGTTTCCGAGCGTGCATTATCCTTGAATGTGGAGCTTCGCTTGTAAATCTGTGTGAGTGCGTGATCGTGAGGGAGCAACCACGGTGGAAACCCAAACCCAAGGTTGCAACCAACCAAGAGCTGTTCAGAACAGATCCATTTGACATCAGTGGACAGCATCGTGCCCATTGATTTCAGTGTGGAACGCCTGAATGCGATTGGATTGGGTTCAACTCTCAAGTTGCCATCCTATGCCTACTTACCTGGGAGCAAACGCCACTGAGCACTGGGCGGACAACTCTTAGCATCGCCACGCTTTGCTCAACCAGAGGAAGAGTTCGGTGTAACAAGGGTGCCTTGCCTGTTGCAATTTTAATACTGGCTGCCCTTGGTTAAAGGCATGTCTTCATTTCCAGCCTTGCCTTTTAGGTGTGCTGGACCTTTCATTCTGTAATTGTTTGACTCCCACAGGATCAAGATTTAGGCTAGAATTCAATATACACGCTTACCTGGCAGGAAATGCCACTGAACTCAATAGGATTTAACAGATTGCGCTGTTCCACTGTAAACTCTTCGGGGCAGCATTCTTTCTGTTCAGTAGCTCATTTCACTATCGAAAGGACCATGCGCACTGCTAATCTCTTTGGGTGCGCGCAGATATAGACATGGATAGAACGATACTTTCTGACATTTAAATCCTAGTTCTGGAAGGGACCATTTCCCTCTCCGGCTGCTGTATGAGTCTGTCAGGATGCTTTAGGCATGATATAATTTTAAACGGGGAGGGGGCAGATTGTCTCCACCTCTCTCTTTCCAACTCGGCATGTTGCGGTGCGCACCTTTGCGCAGGGCTCCATCCGGCAGGATGGCAGAAAGAGCGTCTCCCCGTTCCCTCTGTATAGCCGTCTGCCCCTTGTAAAAGCAAGAATCGAAGACAAAACAGATACGAATCGTTTCCTTCAGTATAATTAGCTTTGGAGTAAGCAGACGCAGGATCGCACCGCACCAAGGCCTGACAGGAGGCGCTTTTCACTGGCGTGGAAAGGAAGACATGGAGGAAGGGAGGTCTGGCTGGGTTTCTTTTTTAAAAAAGCATATCCTTCTGTATACTACTGTTCAAAGTTTATGCTAGGTTGTTGTTGTTTTTAAGGTGCCTGCAACATTGCCAGTATGAAGCTGCATCAGGGCCCTTGATATTTGAATAATGTTAGTTCTTTCACTGAGCAGGCGTGATGGCAGAATTTAATACACAGAGAAAGGGGGAAGAAAACAGAAAAATGGGGAGAAAAAGAGAGAGATTAGCTTTTAAGAAAAGGCGCGTGCATTATCCCTCCACCCGGTCCGAAAGACCAGTCTTAATACTTTGGAGAATTTTATTTATGTCTGTCTGTCTGTCTGTCTTTCTACCCACCCACCCCCATGCGCGGTTACTTGCGAATAAGCCCCACTGAACTCCGTGGAGCTTCTATTTCCTCCTAAACGTGGGTCGTTGGAGCGAGCCGAGCGCCCTGCTGGCTGCTTGGGTGGGAGATGATGAAGTAATTGCTTGGATCGCCCGGTGAGCCAGCACAAAAAAAAAAAAGGAAAGGAAAGGAAAAAGTGGGAGGGGGGAAAGGAGCCTACAGAAACACAAACGCTTGTCTAAAGAAAGCGACTTTGCATTTTGAGAAGGCCCCAAAGCGTCATTCACAAGATCCGTGCGCCTTCGCCCCAAGGGGACTGGACCTCCCTCGGTCAGGCCAGCGAAAACCCAAACAAAAACCTGTCCCGTTTATTTATCTGATAAACGGCAGGGAATCGAATTGAAGCCACAGGCAAAATCCGCCTGAGTCCTCTGTTGTGGCCTGGCTAGGGGTCCCGCTTCACGCCCATTCCAGCCCTCACTTTCTCTCTGGCTACCGTTACTCCACAGCTATATGTTTACCTGGAAATTAAACCGATTACTCTTCTCCATCCCCCTCCCTCTGAATAAAATTTTGACGTATCTTCTCTTTACCAACTTCTCTTTCCTCCAGTAAAACAGAATTCAGCAAACTAGCATGCATACTGCATTTCATTATCCAACTTCACTGCAAATAAATACTGCTTACGACACGTAATAACATAAGACAATAATATATTGTTAGTATGTCAAAAGGCACATTATACCGATAGGGTAATAAGGCATGCATGCAACAAATCCTTCCACCTTTCTTCTTTTTAAACTGAAAATTAAATAGGAATTCCCCTGTGCACATGTTCCCAAGTAAGACACATCAGATGTGAAATGTTCTTTTCTGTAAAATGGAGCAAGAATTTTGCTTTATGCTTAGGAAATTGGCAGCCATCTTTACTTTGTAAAATGACGCCTCAGGAAGAAGCCTGTCAGATCAGACCAAAGACCCATCTAGTCCAGTGTTCTGCTATCACAGGGGCCAACCAGATGTCTATGGGAAGCTCACAAGCATAGCCTGAGTGCAATAGCCCCCTTCCTTCCTTCTGTTTCCAGCAATCAGAATTCATAAGCATACTGCCTCTAACAATGGAGATAAAACATAACCATCATGGATAGAATCTGACAAGAACTATATCTTCCATGAATCTGTCTATAACAGGGTTTCCTTAACTTAGGTCTCCAGCTCCCAACATTCCTGATCACTGGTCCTGATAGCTAGGGATGGTGGGATTTGTAGTCCAACAGCAGCTGGAGACCCAAGTTTGGGAAACCCTGGTCTATAAGAACATATGAACAAGGTTGACCCTATGGAGCTGTCATCCATATACCCTATCACACACATAGGAGAGTAGAGTGTGTTCTGATTACAGTGGTACTTCGGGTTACATACGCTTCAGGTTACAGACGCTTCAGGTTACAGACTCTGCTAACCCAGAAATAGTACCTCGGGTTAAGAACTTTGCTTCAGGATGAGAACAGAAATCATGCTCCGGTGGCGCAGCAGCAGCTGGAGGCCCCATTAGCTAAAGTGGTGCTTCAGGTTAACAACAGTTTCAGGTTAAGAACGGACCTCCGGAACGAATTAAGTTTTTAACCCGAGGTACCACTGTACTTGAATATTTTTTGGAAGGAAGGCTCACTCTGCATGCTTAGATGCTTTTTAGTTCTTGCTAAATTTAATATTGAACATCCCCTAATAAGTGTGTTTAGAACTGGAGCCGTAACAGAGCAAGTGGTATTAAAAATGCTGGAAGCAAGCTTAAAAAGAGAAAGTGGAGTGGAGTCCCTAAGATGGTTAGATGGTACCTAGTATGCCTCCAACTCTGGCAACCAAGTTTGTGCCAAATGCATTGCTCTGCTTTCCTTTGGACCACATCAGTGAGGCTGAGAGGGGGGTCTTGTTGTCTGGGCAGCCCAGGGCCTTCATGCACAATGCCCAGGCTTGTGCCTTGGGGAGGTCACTTTGGTGCTGCTGACACAGTGGTTTGACTTCACTCTGCCCCCCAGAGGCACACTCCATTGTGTCTTGAGACACAGATGAATGCCAACATACAACATACATCTTAACACACTTCCTGATTAGGAAATCCTACTGAAGACAGCAAGGCTTGCTTCTGAGTAATTGTGCCCAGACTTGTGCTGTTAGTCTCTTCATCAGAATCTAGCGTAATCAAGGCATGGAACCAATTTAGAAAGCTGTTAACTGTCCAGACTAATGTGAACTTGAGAAAGCGGTACTGACTGTTATTTCAAACAAATGAGCAGGATGTTTTAAAGAGGAACTAACTAGCATTGTTGGAGATATCAGATCATGCAATTTGATGTGAGCTAATGAACATTTCAACAAGATGGTGGAACAAAGTTCCAAAAGGAAGTAAACAAACAATATCAGTATTATCTAGGCCTGGGTAGGCAAGCTGCAAAATGAAAGAGCCCAAAATGCACACAGATGCACAAAATTTCCCAACCTTTGAAATTATTCAGCTTCCCATATATGGTGAAGAGGGGTGTGTGGAAGTATCCCTGCACAGCTTTGCAGTGCTGGGGGAATCCCGGCTCTCTGTTGCATTTCCTACAGTAGAGTATACTTCCTCTGGGTTAGTCAATATGAATCCTTTCTGTATCAGGTAGCAGCCATTGCCTCCCTTTCAGCTGGGTGGCAAATCGGTGATAAAAGGGGAGGAATGAAATCTCCACTAGGAGATTCCCTTTTCCTTTTTTCTTCTTTGAGATGTGGCAGACACTAGAAAGCGCACAGAGAGACAACATAATGACATCCCAACTTGATAAACTTTTCCTGTGTCTCAAATCCTCTTATTCACTTGACCTGATTGTGGCTCAGTTGCTCACACAGCCTGATGTAGGCATGGATAGTGGCTCCCATCAATGAAGTTCAGTATGGATATTTGAAACCTGTCCTCTGAGAATAGTTCCCTCCCCCAGTGAGGACAGAACAACAGCATTTTGTATGCTACATTTTGTATGCAACACTTTGTTGCATTTTTGTACTTTTTAGTAGTTAGTACTAAATGAATTCAGTACTAACTGATGAATTTATTGTGCATTTTTGTCATATTAGTGCTAATTTAGTTTTGTTGTGTGCTGCTTAGCTATGTTTTTAATATATTAAGGGTATAGAAATTGTCTTAACTAATTAAATAAATGATTTCGTGGAGGGGGAAATCATCACACAGGCCACATGGAACTCTGTAGCCATACTAGTGATGCCACTGTTATTGGGTTAGGAACAAATGCTGTTCAAATTTTAAGTACCATTAGTGGTCCAGTGGTCAAGAAACTCCAAGCTACTCTCTTCCTTTGCTGCTGCTGGGGCTATTGAGTTACCCACTGTCAAGTGCGTCTGGAACTGCTAGCAGCTTCCCTGCATGGTGAATCACTGAGCTGCAGGTGGCAGCCTGTCAGTGACATACATATCTTCAGGACTGAACTGACTCT